TTTAAAAACAAATTTTGTTGAGACTATTGAAATAACAAGGTAAAAAATGAAAGAGAAATGCTACATTGCCAACCTAGTGTACAACTAGGTTGACAACACAAACAAAAAATATTCATAAAAATAAAAAAATACACAAGTGGATGTTTCTATTTGTGTTGTCAACCTAGTTGTACACTAGATTGGTTATGTATCATTTTTCAAAGTGAAATGGTTTATGTTTGTTGTGGATGAATAAATGTGTTTGGATATGAATCCAATCTTTTTATTATATATATATATATATAATAAGATAATTCACTCTTTAAAAATGTTTGGTAAAATTAAATGATGAACCAATTGAATTAAAAATTTTCAACGTGAAAATTTCTATGTAAAATGCTATCTAAGGAGCTCATGAGATAGAGACTCTAGGTAGTGTTTGGTTCGAGGGATTTGGAGGAGAGGGGAGGGGAGGGGAGGGGATTTTTTATTTTTCCTTTGTTTGGTTTGTAACTTAAGAGGGGAGGGGAGGGGAGGGAAGGGGAAATTTTAAGCCAAAATCCCTCTCCTCCCCTCCCTTAGGCTATGTTTGGTTCAACTGAGGGGAGGGGAGGTGAGGGATTTTAATGGAAGGAAGGGGAGGAGAGGGAAGGTGATGTAAAGTAATTTTACCTTGTTTGGAGGAATTTTGTAGTAGGGGAGGGGAGGGAAAATAGTAAACCTTGTTTGGTAAGAAAATGAAAAGGGAGAGAAAATAATGTTAAAATGACAAATATATCCTTAATGATGTTATAAATAAAAACTTACATATTATGTAATAAGGGTAATATTGTAATATAATGTACTAAAATTTTCCCTCCCCTCCAAATTCCCCCACTTTTGGAGGGGAGCAAAAATGGGGAGGGGAGGAAATTTTAACTTAAAATTTTCCTTCCCCTCCTACCCCAAATTCCCAACCAAACAAGGGGAAAGTAAAAAATATCCTCCCCTCCTTTTTCCCCCAACCAAACAACCCCTTAATTTTGCTCACCTCCAAAAGTGAGAGAATTTGGAAGGGAATGAAAATTTTAAATTGTAAAATTATTTTTTTGTCCTTCATATGTGAATTAATTTAATTTTTTGTTTCTTACATCATTAATGGTATAACTGTCATTTATACAATATTTTCTTTCCCCTCATTTTTTTTAACCAAACAAGGTTTATCATTTTCTTTTTATTCTCCTCCTACAAAATCTCTCCAAACAAAATAACATTATTATACATCACCTCCCATCCCTCACCTCCTTGCATTAAATTCATTCACTTGCCTTAGTTGAACCAAATATAGCATAAGTTTTTTTTAAAAAAACTCGATCACACAAAACTAAATTTATTTGTATATAAAAAACTAATAAACTACAAATAAGTTATAAGCTCGCTTATAATAATCGTCGAATTAATAAAGGAAGAAAGAAAATAAACTACAAATAAAACGGAAGAGAACAAAAAAACCGAGCAAAAAGAGATATCGACAACTCGAAAACCATTGCGTCATATTCTCGCACATATCGCTCACACCTTCACTTCAAATAAGGGTCAAAATTCTATCTGCACAAAACTCCAACTGGTAATCTCTCCGGCGAACTTCCGGTTTCCAGCCTCTCTCTACATATACGTCAATCCGTGTATTCGTCCTTGTTATACAGAAAGTAGTTTGTCACTGAGGCACAAGAAGATGGCTGCGGAGAGTTCCGCCGCGGCGGCGACCCGTAGATCTGGCGGCGGAGGAGCATCGGCGGACTCGTACATCGGAAGCGTGATAAGCTTGACCTCGAAGAGTGAGATCAGGTACGAAGGGATACTCTACAACATCAACACCGACGAGTCCAGCATCGGCTTACGGAACGGTGAGAAGAATTTGGAAAAGGGGCATTTATTTCTTATAGTATCATCGTTGCCTAAATTTTTAATTGAATTTAAAATTAGTATAGGAATTGTGATTTGATTTGTTTTTTCAATTTTCACGTTTAGCTATTCGTTATGGGAATTAATCTACTTCAGTCGAGTTTTGTCCTTGTTGTATGAGTCAGATTGTTATGCGTTGGTTGTTCTGTTGATTTAGTCGAGACTTTGTTAATTTGGCCTTTTGGTGTGAAGTATTTACCTCGAAGTGTTGATGAGCAGTAACATTTTATCCTTTTGGAATTGTCTTGGCATGCTGTGTTTACAGCTATGAGAGGTAATATTGTTTGATGCATGCTGTTGGTGCAGTTCTTTAAATTTTATGGTTGTAAGTGTTTTGGCAGGTTGTTGATGAGAGCTTGCAAACTTGCACCTTTCTTTATGCATATCCGATAAGTAAAACAAGCCATGTGTCACATGGGTTTTGGTTAATGTTGTGTAAAAATTCTTATACGGGTCATATTGTGCCGTAGATTTAGCTAAAATTTTTGATTTAGCGTTTTTCCTGTTTTGTCTCATGTCCGTCGTGTCATTTATCTCTACAATAGTGTTTTCTAATCGTGTCGTGTTCGTGTTTCATATCATCCAGCCATTGCCACCCCTACTAAATTTATTTTACTATGTCAGTGAGGTCATTCGGTACAGAAGGTCGGAAAAAGGATGGTCCGCAGGTCCCTCCTAGTGACAGAATTTATGAATACATACTATTCAGAGGAAGTGACATCAAGGTGCATAACTAATTTCCATACATTTGGTCTGATTTCAATTTTTTCCGTCCCTACAGAATTGCAATATTTGCAGTGGTTTTCATTTTCCGCTGTTGGGAGATCTTTCCAATTAGTACATGATATTGGTATGTTATCTGTGCGCAGAAGAGAGAAGTTTCCATGAGTAGATTGTGCTTGGGCAGCTTTTAGTTTGAAAAATCCAAGAGCATGCTCCAGCAGTTCCCCCTCTCTAGATCCATTTAGTTTAAATATATAGTTGGTGTCCACATGATTATAAATTCTACTTTCCGGATTAATATTTTTAGTTTAAAGAGTCCCTAGATGCGGTGTCCGGAATCTTTTGTTCTAGATAGTCAGATACATAAATGCAATTAGAATTCCCTATCATTGACCTGTGCATGGGATTTAATTCTGTCACTCATATGTTTCAGAATGCTAACATTTTTATCTACATTCGTCTTCCACAAACCACAGGATTTGCAAGTCAAAGCTTCTCCACCCATTCCGACCACTCCACCCATTAACAATGACCCCGCAATTATTCAGGCAAGTAATTGCTCATTTTCATTAGTAATGCGACACTTGAAGACTCAATCTGTGGCTAACCAATTAGTTTCTGGTGCAGTCTCACTATCCTCGTCCACCAGCTCAGACCTCAAGCATGCCTGCAGCAGTCCCCAACACGCCTTTGCCAGACCCTGGCTCCCATTCTTCACAAGTGGGACTCCCGGGCTTGGCTTTCCAAAACAGTCTGCATTTATATCAACCTGGTGGGAACTTGAACTCATGGGGACCTTCTCCATCAAACCCAAATGGCAGTGGCCTGGCCATGCCGATGTACTGGCCGGGATTCTACGGCACGCCTAATGGGTTGTCTCAACTGCCTCAGCAATCCTTACTTCGGCCACCCCCTGGCCTGTCTATTCCTCCTTCCGTGCAGCAGATGCAATTTTCGGGCTTCAATTCGTCTCTACCAATGGCATCGTCTAGTTTGCCGACTTCAACCCTGCAAGATAATGACTCATCCTTGGTTCCAAACAACACTAGTTCACCTGGTCTGATCCCTAGTACTTCTTTGACTTCCACCACCTTGTCTTTGAACGTGCCCCCTCTACAGCCTATGCCGCTTGTATATGAAACACTGACTAATCCACTTCAAAACAAAGCTTCTCTATTGTCCGACTCTAGTATCCCGACATCAATTCCAAGCTCTAGCCTGTCATCTTTAGCTCAATTTCCAAATGCAATTCCTGATAATGCTGGACTACAGTCGGTTGCCATCAGACCCAGCCCGATACCTGGTCCAGCAGCCATGACCCAGCAAAGTATGTCTCAGCCGGGGCCATCATCTTTTTCTCGTGCATCTGATTCTATTCTTACCGATAAGAAGGCACCTCCACTTGTAACTCCTGGTCAGCTTCTGCAATCTGCACCACCTGCTGTATCTGCACCTCAAGCTTCACAGACAATGCAGAAGGATGTTGAGGTGGTCCAAGTGTTATCAAAACCGCCTCCAGAAGCTTTGGTGTCTGTACCTCCCGAAGCTCAGCCGCCAATATTACCTTTACCGGGAAACACTCGAGCTCAAAAGGTTCTTTTTTGTGTTTTTTTCTCTCTAGGTTCTTTATATGCACTGCTATGTCCAAAAGTTATTCATTCTTTTTAGTGACTGCTAAAGTTCGATCGTTTCATTGAATGCCATGAAAAGTCTGTATGTTTCTTTCTGGTCTAAAGCTAAAGCTGAATGGGATTATGGTTTTTCATTAGACCATGGGTGTACAGATTGTTACAACTTTTGGATGGCATCACATCAATGAGTATATAACTGGGTGGACACAGACTGGTGATTTTGCTTGGTCTCATAATAATTAAAATAGTAGTTTACATTTCTTTTTATGAAAATCTTATCATTGAATTAAGTGGATTAAACAACACAGCAGCTGAAGTACATTGTAATGGAAAATTTTGATGAACTTAAGTGGCAAATATTGCCAATTTATTGTAAGAAGTCTATCTCTTGTGGAATTGTAAAAGTAGGATGTCATGTGAAACATTTGAATTTAAACCCATGACCATCTCCTCGACTGGATGCATTGAAGATATTAATAATTCTTATTTCTCATTTATCATTGATTATGATTCTTTATTCATCACTTTTCATGTTTTTGCTCTTTGCATACATTAATTATCATAAGCGAGGTTATGTGAACATATTAGTATTTCAGATGTTGGGATATCTTGTAGATGTTATAATTTGCTTGTTCTCTTTGTCAGTATTTTATTTTTTCACCGTATTTTATTGTGAACATGGCTTGTCAATTGTAGTATAATTGTTAAATTGTAATATTTGAGCTAATAGTGTATTTTATTATATCTTTTAGCCAAATGGAGGTGTTTATCATCTGCGTAACAATTACAGAGGGCGTGGTGGAAGAGGATCTGGGGTAAGATTAAGAATAATATTAAACTTACAATTTTCTTGCAATTGCCTGAAATTACAAAAGTGGTTGTTTTCTGTTGAATATCGTGTACCTTTTATCAAGAACCCTAATTCTTACATTTTATGCGATAGATTCTGAATTAATGAATCTTGTTTACTTTCAGATCTCACGCCCTGTGGCGAGATTCACTGAAGATTTTGATTTCTCAGCAATGAACGAAAAATTCAATAAAGACGAAGTGTGGGGTCATTTGGGAAAAACTAATAAAACTCATTCCAAAGATGATGAAGATGAAATTGATGAGGAAGAAGATTTGCAGCTTGAGGATGATACCGAATTGCCCAAGATTGAGGTCAAGGTGATTTCATGTATTCAATTTTTGTCTAAAACACGATATCTGCAATTTTTAAGGAATTTCATACTCACTTTGTGCAATTTCTGTCGCTTTTTGTCAGTCCGTTTATAACAAGGATGACTTTTTCGGCTGTATTCAATTGTTGTCTAAAACACGATATCTGCAATTTTTAAGGAATTTCATACTCACTTTGGGCAATTTCTGTCGCTTTTTGTCAGTCCGTTTATAACAAGGATGACTTTTTCGACTCCCTATCCTGCAATTCACTGCAAAACGACCCAAATCATGGAAGGACTAGGTATTCTGAGCAAATGAAATTGGATACTGAGGTATGAATGAATGGACTATTTGCTCCCAAATCACCTAAAAAAAAAATCATATTTTGGCAGTGGCTGATGTATTATCCCCCTCAATTTAATGTAGACGTTTGGAGAATTTTCAAGGTACCGGGGTCGTGGAGGACGTGGGCCCGGTCGTGGTGGCGGCCGGTTTCGTGGGTCGTACCAAGGGAGGGGTTATGGTGGATATGGCGGATATGTGGGGAGGGGCCGTGGTGGTAGAGGTATGCAGAGTCATTCCTAGAGCGAAAAAATCGAGCATTTTGTGTGTTTGAATTAATAGTCGTTTAATTTAACTTGTAATGCCAATTCTGCCCCTCGAGACAGTCTAAAGTCTTCAACAAAGAAGCAAAGTTTCAGATCTTGCCTCATGGGAAGGGGCCGACTTAGTATAACTTGCTTGTAATGTATGTGGGTTTTAACTTATGGTGGTTTAGTTAAAAAGTTTGGATTATGAAGTTCATCTGTTTTTATTTTTCCTCCTTATTCTAGTACCTTTTTTTCGATCCACTTGAGGTCGTAGTTCAAATTCTGAAGTTAGTGACACTCAAGTGAAATTGTGGTATATATTTTGTGTGTGTTGTGCTTATAGGTAGAGCAGAGTTGTTATTCATGACAAGTTGTTCGTGAACACAACTTGGTTCAGCTTGTGAAAGCTCGACCCTTGGTTTGGCTCGGCTCGTTCGTTTAACGAACCGAGCCTGTGGCTCAATTATTAAACAAGCATGAGTTCGAACAAGATGTGCTTGACCCTGCTCTAAAACCCCTGCTTATAGGTTGAAATAATTATTAGGAATCAGAATTTTCTCTTAGTTGTGTTGGATGCTGGGAATATTTTTGTTAGATTCGTAGTCGTGTTTTGCCATTTCCAAGAGTGATTATGACCTCAAGTTGATCGTTAATGGACTCTTGATACCAACTAGCAGCGTACACAAAAGCAATAGAAATAAATCATTTGTTTTAGAACTATTTTGGTTTCACTCGGATCAAATTTAGTTGTTAAAAGGGAGATTGATAGTCAAAACCAGTAAAAATCAACTAAAATTGGATCACGAGTTAAAAGTGAGTTATCTTGAATAATTGAGTGTAATGACTTATTTTGAATAAACTTGATTGAATGGAATGAGAGAGATTGTATTATATAAAATTTAAAATATAATTATTAAAACTGATGTAATGTAAAAGTAACAGAAAGATATGAAAGTGATATGTAGTAGATGGTTAAGATGAGAGACATTGTAATTAATAGTATTTAAAATATAATAGTTAAAGTTGATGTGATGTAAAAGTATGAGAGACATACGAAAGTGATACTAGTTTAAAACTAGTACGTACCCCGACAGAGATGTTGAATGTGTTATTTTCACAGGTTTTGTCCGTTGTCTAAAAAGAAATAGGGTTATAAATCTATTTTCCACTTCTTTTTTTGGTACAAAGAGAGGAGGCTAGAGCCTAAGACCATCAGACAGATATGTTCCGCGGGTAAGCAACGCCAATGAGGTCATGTTGTAACAACGGTTTAACTATTGATGGTGGGTCCAACCGTTGATATCCAATAGGACAGTGATGAGGTAGAGTGGCCAAACAGTCGGTTGCAAAGTTAGCTTCTCTATAATAATGAACCACGTTAGCCTCCCAGTCCCGATTAAGCAAGTTCCAGATGGCACGATCCAAGCTACCATGCACTCGAGGTTTTCCGTTAGGCCACCTTCCGCCATTGTCACCACACTCTTATTTTCCACACCTTTTAATCAGTGTTAAGTCACATTAGGGTTATAATATATTTTTCACCTCTTTAATTGAGCGTTATTTTAGTTAGCCAGAACATTAAAATATGAGCATATTAGGGCTAGTTTGTAAAATAATTAATATATTATCTTACTAACACATTTATACTAATGTAAATTTGATTTTAGTATATATATATTTATTCCTTTATATATAAAAAAAAATAACAGTTTTACTTATTATTGTTCACCATATAATATTTAATTATTATTGTATTATAAACTTTGTTGTCATATGATGTCATTATTATTTATAAAAGTTATAGAAGTTATGCCTCTTTTTTATTTTTATTTAATGTAATGGAAAATATTTTAATGCACATTAGTATTATTTATTATGTAATCAATTTAAAATATGTAAACAAATTTAAAATTAAATAGTGTATAAATATATTACAAAATATATTTTTTTTATAAATTTAATTTGGATTCTAATTAAACAACTTTGATTTAGCAAATGCCAAAAACTCAATTCATTCTATAATCAAGATTATTTTGATTTGCATTATATGGATTTATAGTTTATTTAGCATACTTTACAATGAAAATATATTTACAAAAATTTCACTAAAGAAAGAAATCAAAATAAAAAAATGATAAAATAAATAATCATGGTTGCCAATAATATACAAATAAATTATAGAACAGTTAATATATTTTAATTTTAATTTTGACCAAGTAAAACTATTTAATGTATCTGGTCATTATTTCTTAACTAGTAAATTATAATTTGAAGAATAATTTATTTTTTATATATAACGAAATAAAAAGCTTAAGTAAAAATTATATTGACATAGATTAATTCACCAACTTGATTTTTCATGATTAATTGGAAAAAAAAAATACCTAACTTGTTACTTTTTTTAGAAAAAAAAAATATTTTTAGATAAAAAGTGAGTATTTGTGAAAGAAAATTAATATTAGTGCTAGAAATTAAGATATGTTGTAATATTTATATTGACCAAAATATTATCAACGTGAACTACAGAAAATCAATCTTGTAATTTATTATAATGAATATCAATGAAATTATTGCAGATATTAATAGATTTATTTAAAGAAATAATATGTTTGATCATATCTGATTTGATCTTATTTGAAAACGTATATATGAAACAATTAATGCATATATTTAAAAAATTTCCAAAAATGTATGCATTAGATGGTCCCAAAATTTTTTACTACTATTTTTAATAAATAATTATTCTTATTATTATATATATATGTGTATGTATATATTATATAGATAGATATGTGAGTGTGAATATTGAATTGAAGTTGATTGATATTATTTATTTATATTAATAAATTAATTCGAGTCAAATTGACAAATTATGATCGATCAAAATCAATTTAAACAGCTACTATTCACAATGCCAAAGCGGCCTCGCCAATATGAGGATCAAAATTAATTTTAACAGCTACTATATAAGACTGGTGGTTAAGCATTTCTTGTGCTCAACATCCAAAACATCAAAGATCGAATAAGTCTTTCCACTTATCTTCTTTGGTGACTTTGGAAAACAAAAAATGTTTGGCTAGTTGAGAAAATCTGAGTAGGACATATGGTACTATCTGTCAGTGCTTCAATCTCAGCCAGTGACTTTCATGAAGTGAAGGTACAACCATGCAGTGTGCAGTTACGGTTAAAGAATGGCACAAGACTTTCTTTCACAATGAGTCTGAGCTACTTAATGAACTTACACACTGGAAATGGCTACTGGGAATGGCAGCTAAGGAAGGTTGGAAGGAGGTTCATTGCAAGACTAACAACTCAGAGCTGACAGACTCATTAAATCAGAGAAGAGCTCTAGAGAGAGACTGCATGGTAGACCTTGTGGACATATTTGATTGTTGTAATTGGTTCTCTTCTTGTGTGTCTGGAGGTGAGTATAGCTGTAAACGAACCGAACGTTCATGAACAAAAGCTCGTTCGTGTTCGACAAAAGCTTGTTCGTTTATTAATCGTGCCGAGTTCGAACAGAAAATTAGGCTCATTTAATAATCGAACGAACACGAGCTCGTTCGTGAACGTTCGATTATGTTCGCGAACATTTATTTAATATAATTTTATTTTATTATATATATTTATATAATATTTTTAATAAAAAATCTAAAATTTAATATAAATTTATTTATTTATTATATATTTACATAATATTTTGAATAATAAAATATAAAATATAAAAATATTTTTATTTTATTTTTTATTTTCGAGTTCGAACGAACAAATTTCTAGTTAATCAAACATAGGGTAAATTGCGCTTTTGGTACCCAAACTAAAGTTCATTTCGGAATCAGTACCCACTTTTTAATAGTTGCAAAATGAATACCCTAAGTTTTATTCCGTTTGCGACGTTAATACCCGACGTCAGTTGTCCGTCAAAAGGCCGTTAGTCGTCACTGTTAGCTGTTAAAAATGGAGGGAAATGTGTTCTTTTTGCGCGCCTGTTGTACTCTATATATATATGGCTTATTGTAGCCATATTTTTCCACCAAAATTCGTAGCTTTCAACAGAAATTAGGAAAAATCCCAAAAAAAAAAAAAAAAATGAGAAGTAATTCTAGCAGTTCTTCTTCTTGGAATAATAACTTTCCTGTCCAAAAATGTTGGTGTCCTTTTGGTGAACAGCTCCCATTGAAGACATCATGGACAAAAACCAATCCCGGAAGAAGATATTGGGCATGTCCAAAATACGGGGTATTATTTTCGATTTTTCTTTTTTGTCATATTCATAAAAAAATTTATGATTGTATTATTCTCTCTTGCAGACAATTGAATATTGTGGATTTTACAAGTGGTTGGATCCGGAAATGTGTGCTCGTTCCAAACAAATAATACCCGGACTGCTTTCAAAAATCAACAAGCTTGAGGATGAGGTCAATGACTTCATGATAAGACAAGAAAAATTGGAAGCTGATTTGAGGAAAGCCAATAGCAAGAATAAGAGTTTGGAAAAACAACTAGCTTCATTGAAAAATGAAAAGAAAAATTCCATTGTAAAAGTAGGAGTCTTTTTTTTACTTGTAGTAGTTGTGTTCTATGTACTAAGTAGCAAAAATTAGCAATTAGCAAATGCAACTTATGTAATCAGCATTTTCCAAGTCAATGAAAGCAGCATTTTCATTTTTCCAATATATGTATCCCATTACAAATTACTTAACCAAATGCAATATTATCCTCTGTCTGAACTCAATCAAAGAAAATGAACTCAATCAACATTATCTTGACAATCCATTATAAATAGAAATCCACAGTCAATCACCACAAAAACACATTCCACAGCCTTGTTCAAACCACAATTCATCATAAAAAATCCATCATCATAAATAAAAGTCCACAGTCAAGCCAGAATCATCAAAGATATCATTATCCCATCACAACACAATTAAAGCAAAATAAATCCAAATAGTCAAACAACATAATTTCAGAATAAGCCAACAAAAATCCAGAGTTACTTGTTTGCAGCCTTGTCCTTACCAGGAGCTGCCCCATTCCTTGGCCTCAAAGCAACTCTGATGTTGGAGACTGTTATGTAATTCACACCTCCTTTCACCACAACAGGACAAGTGACTCCCTCAGATTGAGTGACCTGCATTTGTACAAGTGATTAAAGAATTATTTTGAACAAAGAACTCAAAATCCAATCCAACTGAAATAAAATTTTCACTTCTATAACACAATAACTCACATTGACAGTCTGTCCTTGATCCTCATTGCCATTTCCATCCAACTGACTGCTTTTTCTCTTCCTTGTTGTTCTTGTCTTTTCCTGAGACTATAAAAATAGACAAAATAAATTTGACAAGTTTAAATCAAAAGACAGAGTAAAAAACATAGTAAATGAGGATGATGTACAATTAAAAAAGAAGATAAAAAGGGTAAACTACCCTATTTCTGCTAGCTTCAGCATCATTGTTGTTGTTTGCAGGTGTAGGTGCAAGTGACTGACTTGAGAAAACATTGTCAGTAGCTGGTGGAGGCTGAGATTCACTCACTGGGATCTCCTCTTGTTCTTCATTTTGGTCAGCCTTCTTATGCTTTCTAGCATTGTGGCCATGTTCTCCACAAACTCTGCATGTCACACTCCTCTGGTGCTTTTTCAATCTCAGGGGATTATGAGGCAATGCACTTGGTGGTTCAGTTGGATTTCTTCTTCTTGCCTTCTTAGGTCTTCCAGGTCTCTTCACAATTGCAGAAGGGATAGGTGGGGGAAGCTCAACATTAGGCCACAAATCAGGACCATTTATCCCTAATATTGGCAGTTCATATGCCTTTCTATATGTTTCAACAGTGTACAAATGATCAACATACCACCCTGGTTCTTCTTTTCTACAGCAAATGGCAGAAATAGCATGCTTACATGGGAGCCCAGTCAATTCCCACTTCCTACAAGAACAAGATCTTCCAAGAACATCAACAGTGTGTCGTTCAAAAGGTCCCATGATTTGAAAATTCCACTCATCAGACCTTATAGGAATGAGTTTTCTGCCTTCTTCATGTTCCCATCCAAAATCATTTTTATCCTAGGACAGATACAACCATCCCATTTCTTTGCTTGCTCCCTGTTGGTATGCATCCTTGCCATCATGATGTTTCTCACTGTATCAAGCAGCCCAATGATGTGTTTTTCTCTAGCAGACAGAATAAGTGAATTAAAGCTCTCACACATGTTATTGGTCAAGAAATCACATTTAGGTGTTAAACTAAAGTGAGATCTTGACCACTGATTTGGAGGCTTTTTCACTAGCTACTCATAAGCCTTAGGATCAACAGACTTTAATTTATCCATTCTTGCTTTGAACTCTTCCACCCTAGTACATCTTGCAGCAGCCCACAGTTCCTTCTTTATTGCCAAACCTAAAAAACCATCCTTCTTCATGTTGCGATGAAGGTGCTGAACACAAAATCTATTTTCTGCCTCTAGGAACAAACTCTCAAAAGCTGGTATTAGTCCCTTCTGTTTATCACTCGTGAAGGTCCACATCTCAGCCTCACTTATGCCAATATCATCCCCCAACAGAGATAGAAACCAAAGCCATGAATCTTTGGTCTCAGCTTCTACAACTGCCCATGCTATTGGAAACATGTTGTTGTTGGGATCAATCCCACAAGCAGTCAACAACTGACCCCCATAGCAACCCTTCAAAAAACACCCATCAACACCAACCACCTTTCTACAAGCTTTGAAACCCTCCTTTAAAACACACATAAAATCTATGAAACTGATTGACCACACCCTCATTTTCAATTAATTTTAGGACCACAGTTGACCCAGGATTAGATCTCAGTAACTCAGCACAATAATCCCTCAACTTACTATACTGTTCTTTCACATCACCCTCAAGAAGCCTTCTGGCAACAATTCTGGCCCTATAAGCCTGATGTTTGGAGATGTTTGCCTTCAATTTAGAACACACATGTTCCCTAAACCCTGTTATTTGTATCTTAGGATTTTTTTGACTTCTTTCATAAAATGTTTACCCACCCAAGTTGACTTTATAGCAGAATTATTATAGCTCCAAGCACAGTTAGTGTGTTCATCATTGAACACCTTAACTTGCCAAGTACTGCCATGTTGCATTGGAGCAACATATGTTTTCCATTCACAACCATCAGTCTTGCACCTTGCCCTAAGCCTTCTGCTGTCATTCCTATAAAAGAAAATTGACTTCCCAGCCCTAAAGCAGTAAGTCTCAATGGCAGACTTTGCCTCTGCTTTGGTACTAAAAACCAGTCCTAATTTAAGGGCTGGCTTCCTACTATCTGTAGTAGGGTTGTACTTGGGGTACTTTGGCATGCACAAGTCATCTTCATCAGAACCAACCAAACTCTCAAGCTCATCACTACTATTGACTGGTTCTAATGTGTCCCCTTCTAATCTAGAACTAACTTCATCTCCCAACATGTTTTTCAAAGGGTGGGAACTCTTACCTAAGCCAACAAACTCAACATCATGATCAACATATTTCTCATACAACCTATCATCCTCCATCATGTCATACTCAGAATTAATTAACACATCACTATCATCACTGTCACTATGACCATCACTATTATGTTCTACAATTGGATCAGGGTGTCCTTCTGTTTGTGGTGTTGCTGTGTTAATGTCATCAAGAAAGGATAAATCAAGAACAGGTTCTTCATCTTCATGCAAAGTAGAAGGTAAACTAGAAGGCAAACTAGAAGGCTGCATAGGTTGTGGATGGTTTAAATGTTCAATGTAAATGAGAACCTCTCTATTAAGAGGAATAAACTTCATAATATCAAGCACATCAGAATCACTGGACAAGATTTTTGCTCCCCTATACAATGAATGACCATATTGATGTCAAAACCTAATATTTTGCTCCTCATAACCTAATTGTTTGGCAAAATCATTCATTTCAATAAGACCCAACATGTCCCCATCAACACCATCAAAATAATCTACAAAACCCCCTCTGTAATACCTTGACAAGCTTTCATCATCTCCCCTCCATGGAAAAATTTCAATGTGAACTTCGTATCCTCATCTGGGCAACATAAAAAAATAAAAAAAAATTAAAACCTTATTTTCAAGCAGTGTTAAAGCAAAATCGAGCATATTACATGAATTTAAGTAGTGTTAAAGCAAAATTTATATGAAACATACCGTATACTGGAGTTTCTTTCGTATCTGCTCGATCTCTTTTCGCCATAGAATCGATTTGGAATTTCAATAATCGGGTGGGATTTGAAATACACAGGTGGCAATTACTAGACTTTACTTGCAAATTGAAGATTCAAGCTGCAATTTGAGAATCGCGTTGAAATTTGAAGAGTCGGGCTTCAATTTGAGTAATCGAGCTGAACATTGGAGAAAACGAGCAGCAATTAGAAGAATTCAGTTGGAAATTCTAAAATCGGGCTTCGATTTGAGGGTTCGATCATCATTTTGATGAATGAATTGAAAAAAATTGAAAAGTTAGGGTTTTTTTTTTCAGGAACGCGAGAAATTGGGGAAAAAATGAAGGCATTCAAACTCTAACTGCGATGTTAGTCAAAATCGTTAACGACTAACGGCCTTTTGACGGACAACTAACGCCAGGTACTAACTTCGCAAACGGAATAAAAGTTTGGGTATTCATTTTGCAACTATTAAAAAGTGGGTACTGATTCCGAAATGAACTTTAGTTTGGGTACCAAAAGTGCAATTTACCCATCAAACATATTTAAAAAGTTTATTTATTAAATTATTCGAACACGAACGAACTCAAACTTTTATGAACAATTAACAAATGAACTGAAACACAATTTTTTGCTCGAAAAATAAATGAACGAACACGAACACTGTTCGAACGTAAACGAAAACGAGCTCGAACAACCCAAGCTCGGTTCAGTTCGGTTCGTCTACAGCACTATATGTGAGTAGATTTTGTTGGTTTTTTTTTTTTTTTGGTACAG